TCCGGTGCTTGCTGGCGCATGCTTTCACGAGTAAGCCTGTCCAACTTCAGGCAGTAGAGAGGACCACAGGGATAATATCCCAAGTAAATGATCTTTGTCTTAGGGGAACTTTTTAGATGAAGAAAAGATCTTTGAAATGGTTCTGGAAAATTGACGTATCCTTTCAGACTTCTAGGTGACTGATCACCCATCACCTAGCAACCACCCTGATACCACCCACCTTCCATTTGAAATGATGAAGCAAAAGACTTAATAGCTCTAATCTGATCTCAGAGCACCCATCAGCTAGGTATTACCTCCATTCTTTTTGACAGATAGACAGGGTCAGGGAACTATGTGACTGGACCAAGGTCAAACAAAGCCAGGATGGGGACCCAGTTCTGTCTCTGGCCTAGTGCTCTCTTCCCTGGAACAGTTACTAGATTCTGAAATTTCAGGGCACAAAAAGATTGTTTTTTTTTTTTTTTAGTTTTTAAAAAGATTTATCTGAGAGAGTGAGAGAGCGAGCAGAGAGAGAGCACATGGGTGGTGGGGAGGGGCAGAGGGAGAGGGAGAAGCAGACTCCGCACTGAGCAGGGAGCCCGACATGGGGCTTGATCTCAGGACCCCGAGATCATGACATGAGCCACAGGGAGACTGAACCAACTGAGCCACTTGGGCGCCCTACAGGATTCTTGATACAATGATTTAGTCCAACTCTTTCTCTTAAAGACACTCAGGTCCAAAGAAATAAACTGACCTGTTCAAAGTCAAACATCTAGTCACTAGGACAACAGTTCAGGTTTTCCAGGGGGCCAGAATAGAATATTCTCTTGGCAAAACACAGATGAAAATAAGCTATAAAATCACTTACAGTTGGGACCTCTCAGAATTCCAAAGTTCATGTATGGTAGAGTAAAATGAAAACTTCCAGGCTCAGTGAATGCTTTCTGAGAGGCAACCAGATCAGAGGTCACACACTGGCAGGCAGAATCTGGTCTGCAGACATGTGGGTTTGGCCTGCAAGTTCTGGATTTAAATATGAATTCGGCCAATGTTAAGAAAATAGAGATATTTCGCATTTTAAAAATTCAGATTTCTGGCTTTTCTTGAAAAAACCCAAAGGTCTGGCCTGCTGCATCCATACTCCCACCCCTGCCAATCATCCAGAGTTGAGCACAAGTTGTCCTCTTCGGAGGTGTGTTCTCTGGCTCCCATCTCTACTGCTCCTTGGGTCTCCTGAACTCTGGGGCCACGAGTCAGGTACCTCTCTCCTGCATCACCTGTCCCTGCTGGCATTTAGGTTTGTCCACACTGAAGAGGCTTGAACTTTCAATGGGGTTATCTGGCTTTTTATTTTAAGGAATAAAAACAACACTGTCACAACCCAAATGCAGGGAAGACTTGTCTCACTTAGGCTTTCCAGTTCAGTAATTATTTGGAGATGTGCTACTGGAAACTTTTAGAGAAAAGAAACCAAAAAAAAAAAAAAAAATGGAGAGAAAATGTATCATAGTGTAAGTGGGCTGAAGTGGTTTAGCAGTCCCTACAGTTGTGGAGAGAAATACTTGGCTGATATTAAAATAAAATACACTGTTGAGTGGGGGCACAGATGTGTCAACCTTCATTTCTCACCCTATACCCACGCTCCACTGAGAGACGGTAGGTTTGAGATATGGGAACAGGATGTCAAAACTTCTCAGGCGTAGAGCAAGCCATAGAATGGACTAAAAATATCACAAGTGGAAGAGAGCCCTACTCTGATAGAGATCCTTTTCTTAAAAGGAGACCTGAGCTAACAATGCACGTGATGCCCTCTATCAAAGACGCTGGCAACACTCTAGCCTTTAATTAAGTGGCCCCATACCTCTGTAAGGAAGCTATTTGGCAACAAATCTGTTTTGGGGCCAACGGAAGCATGGGCAGTCCAGAGCTGTGGACTGGTGACATGCCCCCCAATATTAGGTTTACAGGCTATTTCCCCCTGGCCTTCCCATCCCACATGTCTTATAAAATTCCTGCCAGTGAATTTTATAGTGAACATGTATGTTGTCTCATTGGGATATTCCCGTCAGAGCTGATAAATTCATCCGATCACACGGTTTTGTTACTGGTGTCAACCTTAAGTTACAATGTGGAGCCCTGGAATAAAGGCTCAGATACATAATCACTATGTAGCACAAAGGATGCGTGCCTTTGGGACGCAGGCTGATGAACTGGCCTACTGATCTTGACAAGTCACTTAATCTCTCTACAGGCATTTTGTTTCTTCACCTGGAAAAAAAGAAAGGCAAACTAAAAAACGATGGCCCTCACAAAGTAGCTGGCACACAGAGGGCACCCAGTAACCATTCCAGACAGCCTCCCTTGTTTTCATGGTATTCTAGAAGCTACAGGTCCTTAGAAGTCAAGCAGTTCGTCCCTTTCTTTACAGGTGAGGAAATGAAGGCCCCCAAGAGGTGGTCTCTCAGGCAAACAATGGCAGCACCAGGCTACTCTTCAGACCTGGGTTCTGGTACTTCAGTCTAACATTGTTTTTCTCACATGAGGCAGCCCACGTGAGAGAGATTCTGAGAGCAGGTAGGGGCAGTCACAGGGCAATCCCTATGATTACCAGGAGCAAGCACAAGCCAAGAGCTAGCTACACAGATCTATTTTGTTGAAGTCTGACCTAGGTCTTACTACTCCCTATTTCCCTCAGTCCTCCTCAACTGACATATCTTTGGTGCTTGCTGTATAAAGCCAACTTTGGTTTATCTAAACTAACTGGTTGAGTTGCCCTGTCAATAGTTCGGATTATTGGTCAACCAAAGTTGTGGCACGCATTCTCCTGCGTCATAAATCTCACACACACAAGTGACCCCAAGATCACTTTCTGAACTTGGCACCTGGGCTCTAAGGGAATGGTTGACTCTGTTTAATTTCAGCTTGCAAAGTGATGGTGTTCCCTAACTGCATTCATACAGAATAGGGACACAGAGAGTCACTGACATGGTCAGAAACACGGAGTACCCCTGATTCCCAAGAGAACTGTTTTTCAAGAAGGGCTTCACTAGCATATTACACATTAGGAGAAAACATGCTTCAGTAGGAACCAGAATCCTAGACCCTGAAAGTGAAACTTCACACTTTATATAGCACAACTGTTTCCTTCTAGTCCTCTTGGGACCAAAAAAACGCTCGTATGAGATTGCTTTTTAAAAATAAATTACGGAATACTGACTGATACCAAATGCTCATTTGTGAACTGTAATTCACCTACAGCCATTTCTTCTATTAGCTGCTGAAGCTCTGGGAAAAAGTGAGCTGAAAAGATAGCTCCCCAGAAATCCTGTGGGGCAACCCCGGCAGCCCCCACAATACATCTCAAACATCAAATACCCCCCACTGTTATGTCAACTATCGCCAAATCTTCTCTTGATCACTAGGCTGCCACCTTCTTCATGACCCTAAAAATTATAGAAATATTTTACCCAAATTTGATGAGAAACAACTACTGGGCTGGGTGAATTAGCATTCTATGAGAAGTGGTTGAAAGCAGAGTAATTTATTAAGGTTAACTGAAAACCCATAGCCCAAACACAGATTCAACCCTTTATTTGAATATGCTATTTTAAACTGGATTTGTGGCAGGGCACAGACCAAATTAAATCACTCATTTTACTGACTTGAGTCCCAAGCTTCAATTCTCTGGTGGACTATTTTTAATTTAAAAATAAGCTCTTGCCCTATAAAAATAAGCAGCACCAAGGAGAAATGCAAGACAGCTCAGATGGCCCAAGAGGCAGAACAGTTCCTATTACAAAGAAAAAAGAAAAACAACTCAAAAGTATTAATGACATTATTTCCATTTCTAAGTTTAGAAAATGAACGTTATGGTCTAGCCCTAGATTATAATGAGGCACTGTAAAGAGGTATGTCTCTGCAACTACTCCTGAAGATTTTCAAGTGGTAGATGTAAGTAAACAGATGCTATAATGTGACCACACAAAAACTATGCAGCCATTTAAAATACAGTGAGAAAGAGCTACGTTTCAGATGTAGAAAAATATGCACGATAATATGACTTTAAAACAGCAATTTGCACAAGTTATTTCTGGAGAATTTGCGTCTACTGTGTGTGCTTATGAACCTTTGTGACACACACCGACATCCACAATTTTATACTCAGCTGTGAAAATGTATTAAAATATGGCTAGAAAAAAATCTATAAAGATACACAGTAATGGTGGAAAAGGGGGAGAGAGGTCTTGGTCTTTCCCTTGACTTTTCTTGACTCTGAGTGGTTTGCATTTTTTGCAAGAGCACTTATAACTTTTTAAACTAAATAAAGTGGTAGGCTTGGAAGCACTGTTAACAGCTCTTGCGTGTCCTTCCAGTTAAATTCCTGATCAACTCTTGTTTTCACCCCCACTTAGTACAAATACAAATCTCCCCAGTCCTTGGAAGGCTAGGAGAGGGAAAGGCGTGGCTTGCAGGGTTTTCTTGTTGGCTGGAGGAAAACAGGCTGTAGGCGCCCTTTTTTTAGCTACACTCCTGAGGGCTCCCACGTGTCAGGCGTGCGCAGAGGGCAGGCGCGGGGCGCAGGAGGAATCGAGCACCAATCCTTCCAAGCCGAGCGCTGGTAAAGGGTGCGTTTAGCTGGCCCATTTCTTCCCTCCTCAATCCCCCCCAGTCAGCTTCCCGGTCCAAGTTTCACTGGTGCAGCCTAGCCCTACCGAGCACACCAAGCACACTTCTGCAGGGTACGCAGGCACCCGGCGGCGAGAGCTGTGATGTGTTCTACAACGATCGCGTGCCAATTAGTCCGGGGTCAGCGCTCGGGGCAACTGTCAGCTCAGAGTTACTCCCAAAGTGGACAGGTGGGCATGGGGGAGGGTGGACAAGTGTAAACATCTGTTTTTTTTTTAAAAAATAAGAGATGCCACCTGCCTGCCTCTCAACTCCTGTGAGTGGGCTGGAAGACACAGGAGTTCCGGGAGATCGCCCGGCGAAGGTGCGCGGGTGGCACCTGGGCTTACCTTGCAGGGAAACAGGACTGCCGAGGCCACCTTCTCCATAGCCAAGTTCCTGATGCTGGGCGTCAGGGCGCCCCTGCACGTCGGGCAGCAGCTCAACTTCTGGCGGCATTGGTTACATACCAGGTGCCCGGCCTGGCACTGCAGGATGGGGGGCAGGACATAGTCAAAGCAGACCGGGCACTCGAAGAGCGAGGTCAGCTCGTGGTGCTGCGGGG